GTTTTTGGCGCCAAAAAGTGAGGGAGAGAGAGAAATCTCTCGTTAGTCCTGGTATGATTGCCGCGGGTTGTCGTCGGCCCGACGGACTTTGGGAGGGAGGGAAAGGTAAAGCTGGCGGAGACCCCAGCTTAGAGTAGAGTAACTGCCCGAGAAGGTAAGTTAGGTTCCAACTGTAGTGAAATGAAGGATCTTTCTTTAAGTTCACTATGGTTGGAAGAAGACAGGCGGGAGTGAGCCGAGCGAGAGCAAAGCAAGTTCCAGTGGTGGGCTGTCGGTCTGGTCCCATTTTAGACATAGTAAGAAGAGTAGCAATGCTAGATTAAGAAGGGGTAAAGCCATAACTCTGCCCTAAGCATTGAGCTTACGCGAACCAAGCTGCGAAAAACACTTTTTTGGTAGCCGTCCTTCCATGCCAAGCCAGCACATGGACCGGATTGGTACTCGAAGGGGTTCCCCTTCCTCGGACCAAGAGGCTTGGACTATGAGCCCGCTTAGCAAACGTCGGGACGGGGCCCCTATCGTATCGTAGATCGGATTTTGCTTTTCCAGGCTCCAGGCTAGAGAAAGGCTATTCCATATCAGCAGCTATGCTAGCTCGAAAAGGACTGAAAGAACTTGAATTAGGTCGTGACTTGAGGGTGGGGGGAAGGAGCGGTAAAGAAGTAAGGAGGTCGACTAGTTCTTAGCTTGATTGAACTCAGCATAGTTAGAGATTAGAGGAGATAGCTTTTCTTTCTATTGCTTGAGTTGAATCAGTTGACAAAAAGCTCGAACGTAATTGACTTCTTTCTTAAATAAAGGAAGAGATGATTTGGAGAAGAATTCATTCCTCTCCGAGCAGTGAAGTGCCATATCCTAGAGAGAGGGCTTTACCGGTCGTTAAGATAGAGTCGGTGTCGGTAGCTGTTCTTGCTTAGCGGGATCAGGTCACCAATCGGTGACATAGTTTAGGAATGAATATCCGTAACTCCCATTCCAGTACTTGAACTGACAAAATGGAATAAACAATCAAGACCTGGCTCAAGGCTAACCCCTCTACACTCAGGGTCAGGAACGGGAAAAGAAGAATAAGTAGGACAGGCTCGAGGTCCATTCTTTCTTTTAGGAGAGATCCCACCCCCTTCTTTAGCGCTTGTTCGTAATATAAGACTTCCTTCTCGTTCTCGGTGAAGGAATCGGAGCTGCTATATAATAAGCATCTTACTCTTTAACGGCAAGCTCAGCAACGAGAAGTTTTCCTCTGCTGGAAAGCAGTCCTTCACGGATATGGGAGCTTACTCCGCTGTTGCTGGTTTAGTAAGCTAAGCATTTCCTTCCTTTATGATTATGAAAAAGGAATGGATAGAGAGGAAGGCTCCAGGGTTTGTCTCTCTTGGTGTCAACATAGGAATGGGAGCAGTTTGAATGGATGCCTTTTTCCCTTGTTGAATCAGCCAAGTCAGTAGCCTTTCTTTTATGCGGGATTGCCTGTTGATGCAAGGAATGAATAAGGGCTGGCTTGATGCCAAGAAGAAGCTGGTGGAGGAATAACGGCAGCTAAATCATCTGCTGCACAGTAGTACGTATTAGGCAAATGGGATTTTTCTTTCCTAGGCTCAGGAGCGTAGTCAGAGGTCTTTGGTGCGGGCAAGAGGAGGGTGTTTGCCATAGGAAACTCTGTCAATCAGAGGCTTCTCCGACCTCTCCATAATTGGTTAATGGAGGCGTTGGGAGATCTGAAAACAGATGGCACCTTTAATCAAAGTGCCCCTCTTGATAGACTAGTGGGTGCAAAGAAGATCTACTCTATCGATCTAAACCACAGATAGGTGGCCTTTATTGATACAGTTAGATCTTCTAAAGTCTCTCTTCGGACATGAGTTTGCCGATGAAGTTGGAAATCTTCTCGGCTTCACTATGTTCGGGGTTCCTTGGGCGAAATCCCTTGAGAGGACCAACGATAGCTTAGGATTCAGTTTTCAAGTTGGTCAACCTCTGGGATACTACTCCTCTTGGGCTTTCTTTGTTATTTCTCTCTGTCTCATCATTTTGTTGTATGGGCAGCAGCAGAACAAGAGTATCCTGGTCGATCTTTTGATCAGTATGCGGTGATGATATTATCATCACTGATGATAGGGTATCTTCTCGCTACCAACAGATATTGGATAGTTTAGGTGTCATTGTCTCTAAAGACAAGACCTTAGTTTATGATTCTGGTTGTGGCGAATTCGCTAAGAAGTTCAGAACACATGGATTGACTAAGGATTTCTCTCCTGTGTCATTCCGGAATGTTATGAACTCTCATCATCTGCTAAGAATACCTTACCATTTGAGTTGTGGCTTGGCCGTGGACAGCCTATAAATCCCTACTTAAGGGCTCATCTTATTGATTTGCTTCGTAAGTCGTATCTACCCAAAGAATGCAAATTGTATCCAGAGGACATCTGTTCCGAAGATGCTCGGGATTTTATTGAGTGGACTACGCTTAGAGGGTGGGTGAAACAGTGGCTCAACTATCTTAAATGGTATCATACTGTCGTCTGATCAGGTATCCCTGGAAGACTTCTTCAAGGCACCCGTAATCACCTATGACTGGAAAGTCACTAGGAAGGATCCACAATTAGTTAAGTTTGGTTTAATGTGGAAACTTTATGATGAGGTTGCTTTAAAAGGTCTATCTTACCGAGTACCAATTCTCGGTGCCTCTTCCAATCCACAAAGCAATCTGTGTCTTGTTAGAGGTGGGATCTCCGGGACAGATTTTGTCTTGGCTGCCCAGGATTGTAACCAACCTCGGGCAGGTAGGGGGGTAAGGACTCTTGGCAGTGATGATCTTCCTATACGGACCATCAGATATAAGACTTTGGGCGTCTTAGATCGCCAATGTGTAGTGGGATTTCAACGTTGGGACAAAGCGAGTGGCACTTACTCACAAGTGATGTCATGAGCCTATGCCTCGCGTTGGGATAAAGATTGTATTGATCTGCACCAAAAGGGCGGCGAAGACAAAGGTGCCAGCAGCTAAGGAAAGCCTGTCGCCCTCTTTGCTTTCACTTAGCCTTATCTTAGTTGCCTTGCAAGGAGAATTCATAAAACAAACTCTTTTTATCCTTCTGATGAGCAAGCTTTTGACTCTGGATTTTCGTATCCTCTCATTGGACTTATTTCAAACAAACTCTTTACACTCGCACCTGAAACCACGGGAACGAAGAAAACTACATGGGGAGCACGCTTACACCTGCAAGAACAAAGGGCCCAGACCAACCACAGACAGATGGAACCACACATACAAAATCTTGCAAAATGAAGTAGGGTAGCGAGCCACAGTGGCGACTGAACAATCGGAAACATAGCCAGGCAAACGTCCAGAACCCGCATCGAAGAATCAACATGATTCAAATCCAAAAACAGAAAATAACTACTACATAATCAACACACGCCCGCGCACACGGGAGGATGGGCTAGGGCTACTAAATCGAAGAGACTTCCACTCCTCCCTTCGATAAGCTGTCCAACTACGATGTGAAAAGCATATTGGCCAATAGCTTCTTAGCGCTTAGGCCACTATCTATAAGCTTGAAGCTCCTCCTCCATGAGATAATAGAATTTGTCTTATTGACTTCATCAGGAGAGAAAGATGATGATTAGCTGGCTGGCGCAGGAGCAAAAAAGAGATTTGGTTGGTATTCGCCCTCGAATGGAGATGTTTAACTGGTTCGAACTGAGCTAGGAATTGGCGGAGGAATGGAAACCTTTCGCTAGAAACTGTAAGGAGCGAAAAGCCAGGATGGCTTGGTAAGCAAGCAACCTGTTATGTAGGCGCCACCCTCCATTTCTTTCTCTTCTTTCTTTTTGAAAGTCACGATCAGAATGAAAGGTAGTTCGCTGGGCCTGTATTTTGATCCCAGAGGTGCTGGTTCGATTCCAGCTCGTGATAAGGCTTTTTTTTTTCATATCCCTTTGTATCGCTTGTTCTTATTCAGTTCCTTTGTCCTTCCATCGCTCAACTATTTGTTGAACATTGAATTCGCCCGATA